CGTAATTAAAGCACCGCTCACGGGCCACGTGGCGGGGACAAAGTAATGCCGGCCGCCTTTCTTGGGTGCGGGCTTTCTCACTGTAAAGGCGTGCGCGGAACCTAAAGTGCCACAACTGGCTCATGTTTCCGCGCAGGGGTACTAGCTGATTCCCCGATGAGCGCGCGCGCGTCTTATTAATAAGCGCCCATGCACCATTCTAATGGCGTCAAGTGGAGCGTCTGCTCATGCGCCCTATCGATAGCAGCGCCACCGCAGCGGCGTGAGGTCAGCACCGCGTATTGGTTTAACGATGCACTGCAGCGGACGCTATATGAGCGACCTCAGCGAATCGAGTGCCGCGAATCTGTCACGTGCCTATAGGTGTACCTCGATCATTTTCTTCCTAAAGTCCCTTGATAAAATTCGCGTTTACAAGTACCGCCAGTCACGGGCGGCGGTACTTGTAAACGTGAATTTTATCACGGAACTTTAGCAAGAAAAGGATCGAGGTACACCTAAGCACGTGACAGATTCGCGGCATTTGCTTCCAAGCGCCGCTCGAGACACTGACCTCGTGCACTGGCGTATTTGACGCCACTTGCAAGAGAAGCGCAAACCCATAGAGGGGCTTTATTTTCCTAATATGTGCTGCCGCCTATTGGGCTGGCTGCAAGATTGCGTGCTTCCAAAACAGAATCGCAATCTTATATGTTGTACACAAAACTTCTTGACCAAACACTTTTCGCGGGGAGGAGCTTTTTTTTTTTTTTCGTTTTGCGTGTGCCAATAGCCACCGGCGCACGCTCTATAGACTGTGCTTCGTCTGCACGAGCACTCGTGCGTGGAAGGCGCTGTGGAAAGCCAGGCTATCGTGACCGCGATTTTTCCTCCAGTCACCGACAGCTCAAGAAAAGTGCAGGGCGAATCCTGAATATTTTATTGTCGCTTCACGGCCAATGAGATTGAGGCATCAGCCACAAAGAAGCCAAAGGACGAATCACGAAGTAAGATGCGCGGAAGCCACTCCCTGCGTTTCTTAAGTTGTCGGCGACTGTCTAGTGACTGGATCACGTAGGTATTTATCTGGACGAAAAAATGAGGATTAAGACAACACAAGGGCCACGTCGAAAGTTCGAACATCGGTACGAGTTACCAACTTCCCAACCAGGGATGAGCAGTATTTCAAATACAAGGATTTAAAATACGTATTTCAAATACTTTGTGTATTTTGCATTTGTATTTAATTACAAATTGGGTAATGTATTTGTCCTGTGTATTTAAATACTAAAACGTGTGTATTTCAAATACAATTGTAATTAAATACAATTTTGTGGGCGAAAATACATCCTTCAAATTTATTGTCACGACTCATTTTGGTCATCCTAAGACGTGTCCAGAGCAGGAAGAATACTACGTTCTGCACCGAATGCAGTGTCTCTCAATCAAGCACAAGCGTTTAGTGATTTTGTGATTACGTTGCTAGTCCAGGGCAAGAATAGTGACGAAATCGGCGTTCACGGGCAGCCTGGCTGAATAAGTGCCTGTGACAACTTGTGATGCTTTCCAGCCTGATTTCCGTCCATATTTTTGCTGGGAACACTCTAAATGCGCGGGTCGTCCAGATTTTCGTAACTGGTGCGAGTTGCAACAATCAACAATTCTCTTGCTTGTGCTGCGCGTCTTGGTCGTCTCGGTTCTTTGTTGGTCTATACCACTGATCTCAATGAGAATTGCTGGATCGCGTTTGCCCGCTCTGAGAATGCGGTCACTGGCGGCCATCTTTAGGTAGAGTTATATTACCTCTAGCCAAGGTACAGCTCTTGCAGCCACTGTAATCCATCCATGGCAGACAGCGTTTTGGCAGGTGTGGTGGCAGGCCGCCGTCAAAATAGGGTGGGTGATATTTCGTGCTTGTTTGAAATTGTTTGACGAAACATGTTTTTGAAACCCGGCGTGAACGGTAGCCCGATCTTTGAGGAACCGGTGAAAGTTTCACGAAATCACAGCACCGGGGGAAAAGCAGCACAGCTCGCATCGAAAGCCGCATCCAAATTAGCATCAAAAGCAGACGCCGGAACGGAGTGTGCTTTCGATGTGGGCTGCGCTGCTTTCCCCCGGTGATGCGCTTTCGTGGAGCTTTCTCCGGGCCCTCAAAGATGAGGCTACCGTTCACGCCGGGTTTCAAAAGTCTGCGTCGTTGAACAACTTGAATCAAGCACGAAATATCTCCCACGGTACAGTGTACTAGATCTACCACTATTTTATGGCACTCGGCCGCCATTGCGCTGTCCGCAATATTACTATGATGGCTAGAGATGATATAACTCTACCTAAAGATGGCCGCCAGTGACCTCATTTCGGTCCATAGGCGGAGCTGGTCAAACGCGATCCAGGAAATAGACATAGAGATCAGTGGTCTATACCAAAATGTAATCGACAAAGAAAGTTGCTTGAATCTCTCTACTTTTTTCACCTATTACGTCCAAGCTGATTACTTTTTTTGTGATTATATTTATATTATGTTACTAGAGCCTCCCACACTAACTCCGGAGTGTGCGATGCAAAATTAAAATGAGATACCCAGAAACCCGTTGTAGGTGCCCGCAAGTTTTGAGGAATGTATTTGTAGAAGTATTTGGAGGAGACCAAATACATTTGGTTGTATTTGTATCTTGTACTTAAATGTTTTTTTGGAAATGTAATTAGATTTGTAATTAAATACATTTTTGACGAAGTATTTTGTATTTGTATTTCGATACATATTTGCCTGTATTTTGCCCCATCCCTGTTCCCAACAATCACGAGCACAAGTCGCCTCGAACATCGTCCAGCTTCGCTTCTCTTCTAGGAGGAGAGCTGTTGTATTCGCGACTCCAGCTCGTCACTCGCCCTCCCGCGGCGGAAAAGGGAAGCGCTCTAGCGAGGGTCCCCCGATCCTCCTGCTCAGCGGGCAGGGCGCGACTGCTCGCGATCATGGCTCGCGAAATGGAATTTCCGAACGCAAGCAACACTATTCATTGTCTCGGTATGGGATTGTACCTTATTAGAGATTTCTAGTATTTCGCATAGAAGCAAACGTAAGCGCTCTGCGTTTGCGTTAGAGTTGCGTGCTCCAGGCTATGCATGCGCGTCGTCGCCAAGCTCCAATCCAAGACCGCCATTTTGTGCACGCGCAGTGTAGAACAAGCAACGCAAAGATACAGCGCTTGCGTTCGCTCGTATACGTCATACTAAAACTCACTTCTGTTTCACCGGTTTCCAAAGTCAACAAAACATGTTGCAGTGAGCAGACGGACAAGCGGGTAAGCGTTCCTTCGAACTGGAAAGGCTGAAATTGGCGAAACGACGGCGCATAAAAATTAAAGAAGCAAAATGTTCTAAGCAAATTAAGATATTAAAGAAAAATAATAATCCATTTCTTCGTAATTTTGGGGCATTTGGTCCGGAAGGTCTGACGGCGACTTTGGAAGTTTTGCCGATTATCAAAAGTCGCGACTTTGATAGCTTTACCCACTACAATTTGTGTAATTTTGCATGGATTTCTCAGATTAGCTAAGGAATGTTTTCATTTATTTTAGAGTATTTTTATTGAAACTTGTTAATTAAAAATGCTGCCATTGGCACCAGTGATGATGATTTACACATTTTTTTGTGTTATACTTGTTCGCGCATTTGAAATTAGATAATAAGCAACAAACTATATGAGGGCTTGAAAAACTACGTATTAGCATATCTTAATTGTATTATTATTATTACTACAAATTGCTGCATTGTAGGCTCACCATTTCAGACAGTTCACAAAAATACGCCATTCAACCAGTCATTCCAAAGCGGTCTCATTTTGTTTTCTTTTTAGCATCTAAAATCAGACATCGTTATCAAGATAGACAAACAGTCAAACGTTGTATGTATTATTAAGTCCTATGCGTCACGCGTTGCCTTAAAAAAACACGCACACTTCTCCTGTCTAACTCGGATTTGGTCCGTGGTTTTTTTTTTAGTGAGAAAGCGTTTCCAAATTTATACATTTTGTCACCATATTTCAAACTCATCATCCGTGGCGATATTTAGTAAAATTCTGATTGATTCTGTTATTCTTGTGTTTGAAAGTAATGTTAAAGCAATCCATCATCTATATATCCCCCAACCCATTAAAAGGCCCGCAGCTCATTATTTCACATGACAAGTATCCAAGCGACAAAAGGGTAGCAAAACGTACAAATATCAGCACTGATTCTTTTTCAACAAATGCAATATTTTATATTACCTCTAAAGGGTATGAAAGACCCTGTCGTTAAAGGGACATATTGGAGACGTGCAACCCCCAAATATTTTTTTTTTTTTGACGAACAACTTCTTTAATTCAATAATTACGTTGTGAGACACATCTTGAGTTTTGAAAGAATCCGAAATTAGCACCGATTCCAAAAAAAGTTATTCAAAATAGACGTTAGTTTCGGTTTCGCTCCAGACTTAAAACGTCCCCCCCTGGCGTAAATATTACGCTAAACACCGTTTTTGTTTTCAGGATAATGAGGTGACTTGTGCTCATAACACCCTAGCTTCCTCGTATAAGCAGGAATAATCTGTGTAGCTCAGTGAAGCTAACACACTAGACAGGCTCAGCAACTGGTATACCGGCACGCATCTCCGACCCTCACTAAAACCGCCATTCTGGAAAACGAGTGGCGCCACCTATAGTGAATTGGAGTCGCGAATAGTGACTGGGCTGTCTAGGTATTTCTCTGGACAAAAGAAGGAGGTTGAAGAAAATGACGGGCCTAAGGTACTCCGGTTTCTACAACAACATACCAACGCGCACAACTGATATATGATATAGCTTACAGCGATCGAAAATGAAAATAAGAACGAGGTTTAATTTTCGCGAACGAAATCGGACGTTTCGGCATCCCTAACCTAGTCATGCCCTCTTTGGCATTAAATTGAAAAAAAAAAAAATTGGAGGTAGAAATAAACGAAACAAAGGCGCAAAAAGAGGGAGAAAGAGAGAGACTTACGTCGACGTAGACGCCGGACAGTCTGTAGGACTGGGCGGGAGGACTCTCGCTGGGCAGGTAGCGGAAGAACTCCCGGTGGCTCTTGTACCACTTGACCGAGTACAGATCGTCCGACTCCAGGTCGAAAGAGCAGTTTAGCCATACCGGGTCACCGCGGATCACCACGCTCGGCATATCCAGCCGCACGAGCCGGAGACCCCTCGCGGTCCCTGCAACCGAACGAAACACTCGTGAGGAAGAGCGTCGGATATCTCGCACGATTCAGCAGAGAGGTCTGCAACGAAATGAGCCCGCGGAAGAATATCGCCGTCTCTAGAGATCAGAGTTGCTGACAGCTAAAATAAACCCAGGGTACGGCGAGCCCCGATCATAACATCATCGACCCGCAGTCCAACGAGACTGCAGCATTCGACGACGAGAGCACCGAAGAAACAATCACGAAGGGAGAAGCTTGAACCATGCTTTTCTTATTAAGCTTTCGGTGGCTGCATATACGCCACGAAATAAGGAGCGTTGACTCTACCCGCAAAGCAATGGGGAGAGCCAGTCGCTGCCATCTACGTATTTTCAGCCTCGTCATTGCCGAGCTTCCTACCGAGCTTGCAGCAGCAATTTGCTCTCCCATATGCTTGACGGGAAAGCAGACGCTCCAGGTTTTCCTCGAGCATCATTGTGGTTTACATTTACTCGATTTCTAGTAGCTTTTGCGTGAAGACAATACGTTTCACGCGAACGTATTACGTCGTCTGAACCAAGCTCAAATTACCGAGCATGCTTCGTGGCTGCCAGCTTTCTCCAAGATGAATATTTTGAAATAGCGGAGAAGACGCGAGCGTGCTGGTGAACTATCGACATCTTGAATACCCGAGTCTAAAAACACAAACGTTGACATCCTCGCAAAATCCCACTTATACCCAATTACACGGGCACCCTTAACGACAGTTACGTGTGACTAAGATCAGACGTAAACTGCGATTGAGGGCGTCCGACGGGCATCCTAAATCGCAATTACTCTCAAGTATGGTTAGAAGTTACTGTCTATACTGAAGCCTATCTACTCTGGCACCCTTAACCACACTTATGTCGAACCTCAGTCAAACTTAACTGCGGTTGAGGGGCGCCCGTGTGATTGGGGTCTCAGGGTGCTTCCACAATTCTATTTTTTTACGAAGCTCATGAGGTTTTTATGCGTTCAAGGTTTTATTTTCTCGGTGCCAAAAACAAATTATGCTTAACTTCAAATTAAAAAAAAAATAAACATTTTCATTTAAAATTTTTTTTTTCCCGTCGAGAGACTGTGGGAGAAGAGGAGAGGAGAGCGCGAGGGGACGTCAAAAGCCCGAGCTCTGATTGGACAGATTAGTGGGTAGACCTAAAGCTAGCTGCCTTTGTCTCCACTGCACTAGTCGAACGCGTTCGGATGCAAGAGCCAAACGCCGGACGCCGGCGTTCCGCGCTCTAACGCGTTCGACGAGTGCAGTGGAGACAAAGGCAGCTAGCTTTAGGTCTACCCACTAATCATTATAGTCGAAGCTCGGCGTTCTGACGTCCCCATGCGCTCTAGTCTCCTCCTCTCCCTTATGGTGAATTCCACTCGTAGATCTGGAGCGCTTTCCAAAATCCGCGAGGGAGGCAAAATTCCGCTCCGTGGGACCCGCTCCGAATCGACGAGGGGAAGATAAACTTGCATTTCTGGAGCGACCTCCCCCACACCCCTCCCCACCCCTTCTCCCTCCGCCGTACAGAATGGCCGCTGCTCGAACTTGACAAGCCCACCAACGCCTCAGCCGGCTGATCTTTCCGACGACCAGTGACGACTGTCACTGCTTAGCTGCAGAAGTAACACGCGACACAGGCCGGGCGAAATTATACGTACCGCGGCGCACTCACAAATAACGAAGACGTCCGCGTTCGGCACCGTCACATACCTTTCGGCCGCCTCGAAGCGGCGGGGCACGGACATGCAGCGATTGCCAGCGGTGGAGTTCAGATTTGTAGTACGACTTTAATAAACACAGGTAACAAACCATCACTTGCGCGGTCGTTGCCTAACCACTTCTTGCTTTATTTCACGGGAAAACGCCGAGGGAATGCAGTGTAAAAAGGTAAACAATCACTGGCTGCAAAATGAATAGGCCTAACCTTGCGTCTGCTTCCGGCTTTTCTGTCGTTCTTCCTCTCACGATCACAGACGTCAGCGCTTACGATTTGCCACGCTCCACATTCCCGGCTTTTTATCCCTGATCTACGCGAGGTAGAAGCGTTCGAGCCGTCACAATCCAGAGTAAACAACCGACGCACCCGAACAGATCCAACTCCACGACCCGACCGGCCCGCCGATCTCCCCAACCTCGCCGCGCATGCGCACCGCCGATTTAGACGGAAATCACGTGGGCCGCTCTGTCAGCTTCCGGAGAGATCCGTGAAAACCCGCAGAGCAAGCTCGGCGGAGTTTGGGGCGCTCCGTGGAGCGGCCGCTGCCAGAGATCTACGAGCGGAAGATGACCAACTTGAGCCAGATCTGCGAGCGGAATATGCGCGCTCCAAATGGAGCGCTTTTGGAGCGCTCGATATCTGCGAGTGGAATTCACCATTAGTTTCTTCGCCCATAGAATTTCTCTACTCTGGAAGTTCTCAATGTCGGCGAACATGCACAGAATATTTCTTTCTTTATACATGTCTTCGGTGTTAACGTATGCGGCTGCACACACTACTGATTAATCTCCTCGCGCGTTGTTACCGTTTTAATTATTTTTTTATTTATTCGCAGATGCTTAATGCCTTGTGAACTCAGTGTGCACTCAATTTAACACAAACTCACACAGCGCATTTTCGGTTTTTATTTCCTAAATTTTTTTGTGTAGGATACTCAACAAAGTGAATGCGGGCAGATCTGTAACAATTCGTTGTAAAGCTGTAAAGTATATATATATATCGAAGCAGCCGGTCGGTCTGAATAGACTTAAACTCGCGCTTGTTAAACTGTCGAGGTTTGAATGCAGACGTACAAAATTAGAGGGCGTCTTTCTTAACGCACGCCCGAGACGCGATATAATTGCCTCCCCAAAGTCTCTTTGCACGAATCCATATACTTGGTTTCGCTATAAGCCCGAGCGCGGTCGAAGCCTACAAGACAAACAAGCAGATACACACACAGAGACTAGCGCCTGATTGGACGAACCGGAAGATGAGCACGCGCAGAAAGCAATACCACCGAGAAGACAAAAGGCCTGCGAATGATGTCATCGTTAATAGTCCCTCCCGAAGTGGAAAAAACACGCTGGAGCTCGACGAGAGATGCCACAAGGCGGGCAGACGCGTCCGTCTTGGCGTCGCCGCGCCTTCTAGCGTCGCACCCGTTGCGGAACGCTGCGAGACGCGTCGGCGGCGATGCTGACGCAAGCTATAGGTGGCACTGCGTGGGTCCACGAGTGATGACGTTTTGGGGTTAAAGGCCCAGGCCTTTGGTCATTTGTTACCTACAGCGCCCAAATGGCATTACAGTATAGGAGCGGTACAGATATAAATACCGTTCAGGCATATATTAACCTATAACGTTCAGGCATAGAATAACAAAACACATATGATCCCCCGTTTAGACATATAAAAACAAGCACATATATAACAGCGTTTAAGAATAACAAAACAAAAGCCAGCACACAAATTTCTGTTTATTTCTTTTTTTTTTTACGTATTTTTCAGGGTCACTATTTTATGCGGCAAACTATTCCATTCATTTAATGTCCTTGATGGAAAATAGTTACGTAACTAACAAATCAAATTCTGATATGTATTACCGAACTTTTAGTTCGTGAAACTTAAAACAATTTAGACAGATATTGGTTTTTTTTTTTTCGCTTTTGGTAAATTATAAAAAATTCCGGGTCTTTGTTTTTCTAAGTGCTAATGCAGAAAGACGGTAAACGCTGCGAGGTTGCGCTTTCGGCGCTGATTAACCCCTTGGCTCGTTCCGTCGGCTTCGCAGGCACTTAAGGTAAAACGAAGTGTAACGTGTATAATGTGTATAATGCATAATGCTTAGTGACGCTGCCGGGCATTGACCAGAGATGTATACTACAGCGAACAAGGGAACGGCGGAGGGAGTCTTGCGGGGCTTGTCGAAGCCCGACAAAAGTGCGGTCCGAAGCCAGACGCTCCCATGGCCGGCCGTGAGTCATCTACTTGTAGGGCTGTGCTCACGGAGCTTTCGTGGAACGGGAAGTGGTTTGAGTGGGGTGGAAACGGACGAGCCACCGCTCATAATTATATGACGAGGGACTGGTCTTGATGCGCTTGTTTTTATTGTTCATTCACCCTGAATTAGTAAATAACGAATTTGTTTCTGCGGAGGTATAAAAACAGCTATAAACAATAAGCATCTGTACATGTTTATAGCGTCCGGTATAAAAAAACATATTGTTTTCTCGTTGTTCGTTAACACATTTGGGGATGTTTATTTAACTTCGGGGGATCTGAATTGTTGATCGACGCGGAGTTATTCGAGTTAACACGGAACAAGCGGCAATCTTTCTACGCGAATTTTAAGGCCAAAGTAATAGGTTTGGCGGATGTCGTTCATCGGGCTGAAAAAGGAGAAATACTGGTGACCCAAATAGTCGAATTACCTGCGTTCTACGCTAACTTACTCATTAAGGCTTACAGCTTCATTTTATTACGTGTAATAAGATATAAAGGAAGATGGGCGAAAGATTTATTGTTCGGAATCAAAAAGGAATAAAAACGCTGGTGGGGAATGGAGAACGGCAAATCTGAAAATGTTGCTGTTAGCTTTCTGGAACGTTTTCATTCATGCCACGACAAGCAATCTCGCGCAGTTTTTTCGCATACTCTAGTTGTATTAATAAATGCATAAAAATAACACAGTGTAGAAATATTGTCTTTCCATGGCGGGGAAGAACCTGAACAAATATAACAGATGGGAGTTAAAGAGAAGCGGTGAATTTCATATGGTTAACGCATTGGTTTGGGAGCAATTTTGTAGAAACAAGTTGAATAAAATATAAAGAGAGCGAGCTGTGTGTGTCGTGGGTGGCACCAATGAAAAGGTGGAAAAATTAAAACAAAATAGTTGGAGAATGATTAATCGACAGACAAGTTCATCGAGGTACCAGTAAAAATAACTTGGTATCGTCAGTCGGCGTCTTGTGTCTAAAAAGTGGTTGACCTAGAAAGGACCTCCGTGGGTGGT